AGGCTAGACACTCTAGAGCTTTCCAATTCTACTTTCTTGTTAGAGGGTGCATCTGTGACAGGCCTAGGAAAAATTCCATCCTCTATCTCTGACACATTCTGAGATAAGCTGACCAGCCTGGCATGCTCACCTGAGCTCCACCACTGGAACAGCATACAGACTAGATTCAGTGTCATTCACCACCCCTTTTCTTATGCTGTAGAACAGGGGGAGAAACTACTCAGAAGATGAGGTGGCAATGCTGTAGTTGGTGCTAATGCACTCAGGGAAGAGCCCTTTGGGCAGCAACCACACAAGCTTTAACCTTGGGGTTCTGCCCTGGCAGCAGTGCCAACCCCATCCCACTTCCAGCTCTTTTCCCCCTCTAGCCCCTCTGCATTTCCCAGTACAAGTGTCCAGCCCATTGAGTTTCCCTGATGGACACTCTTCCCCTGCCCTTGTCTATCTTGAACAGTAGCTGGAGGATATAAACAAGCGTCCGGCTGTTTCCCTGTCCTTTTTGCTCTTCCTGGGTCATGTCAATCCTAGACAGCACAGCCACACTCAGATGAGATGCAGACACTTAAAAAAACGACAGCCCTCACTTGTCTCATCAGAAGGGCTCAGCACGGTCCTGCCACTGCTTCTGTCTGCGGCTGGGTGGAAAATGCTGCTCTGCCTGCAGTCCTGAGGCTTGGCATCCCTTTCCCTCAGGGAAGGAGATGTGGCATCTGCTTCTAGTTGGAAGACCCTAGCAAGGAATGGCAATGCATTCTGAGGGGTTGTTTTGCATCAGGAGAGCAGCTCAGGGTTTCACAAGAGCGCCGGGCTGTGCCTCCCTGCTGCCCACCCCGACTCCTGTTTTGCGAACCCTGCAATCCATGAGCAGCATCCTGCTGCTGTCCCTCCTCTTCCCAGCCAGCTACCAGCCCCAGGGGAGCCAGCGTGCTGCTTTGCAGAGCGATCTTCCCAGTGATCTTCCTAGACCCTGGCGCCCCTGGTTACTCAGCAACCTTCCGTGGAGACAGGGCTCAAACGCAGTCAGAATTCCCTGGCTCCCCCCGGGTCTTTTCCCGAGGGATCAGGCCAGGCTCGGACCCCGCAGAACCTTCCGGCTGCCCTGCTGCTCCGGGGAACGCGCTGGCCGAGGGGGATTTTGTGCGGTCGGCCAGGCCCGGGGCCGGGGCAGGCTGCCGGGCACACGCCCGCATTGCCCCCTAGCCTCCCGCTCGGGGATGTGCAGCTCTCCGCCCGCAGCCTGCCAGCCCGGCCGGCCGGCCCGCCTCGGCTGCTTCAGCCCCAGCTCGGCTGAGGTTTCAGCTCTCTCCCCCTCCTCCCAGCCCCCAAAGTCACCAGCTGTCCCCCCCCAGCTCTGGGGTCCATCCACCCCGCTGGCACAGGGCCACGAGACGGGGCCGCCTGTCTCCCAGCCTCGGTCTCCAAGCAGATGGGAGACATCAGCTCCCTGCTGCATCCTTCCGCGATAATCTGTCTCGCCCGCTTCCTTTCAGGGACACCTCTTCTCACGGCCAGTAAATCCCCAGTGCTTGCCTGTCTTTTTCCAGACCCCAGCCTGGCCACATATCTTTCATGGGTAAGCATCTTCCCAAAGGTCATCTCCCCCTACCCATGCAGGATGCCCTAAAAAAGACAACACTTCCCAAGCTCTCACGGAAGAATGTCTGGGCACAAAGTCCCCACCATCACCAGCAAACAGGCACCCTCTTGGGAGCTTCAGCTGATGCAAATCCTATATCCAAACACATGGGAATGTACAGTAACCCAAAGACCCCGTTGGAACTGAAGGGGGACACATTTGTAATGAGGCAAGAAGATTCCAGGACTCTGCCTTTGGCTTCCCCTTCCCTTTGCAGCAGGTGGCAGCTCCCCCAGAAGCTGCACAGGAGATGAGAGAATTCTTCCTAAACATGTGTCATCCTGGATTTTTTTCCTATTGTTATATAGAAGCATGTTAATGCCAAAATAATAAACAGGGACCAGGGGAGAAAGTGACCTTCTGGTAACAGCTGAGATAGGAAGTGTTTTGGTTTTTCTTCCCTCCTCTGAAGGATTCATTCCACCTGCCTGCAGCCATCCCATAAGAAAAGAACCTGCAGGAAGAACTGCTATACGGGGAGGAAATCACATCTGCTTTCCTAGTAGGATGGATGCAAAAGGAAAAGCCTCCCATCTTTGGAAAGAGTTAAGCCTCCGCGGAGCCCAAAGAAGGATGCCCCAAGCCAGAGCCCAGGAAACCCAGTAGCTGCTCCCAAGACAGCACTGGCTCAGAAGACTCTGGAACAGAGCAGAGCGCAACCGGGAAGTTGAGAGCAAGCTGGTATTATCCCCTGTGCTGAAACAAAAGAGGGGACCTGGAAATGAGGATCCTTGAGTAGGGTCTGCTCAAAGGAAAAGATGGAGAGCCTGGAGAGCCCACATCGAGCCTGGGCGAGGCCCCATCCATCTGCCCTGCCTGCACAGGCTCTGCTGCCAGGGCAGCAGGGGTCACCGTCCTGCAGCCATGGCAGGGCCCTCAGCAGTGGGATGGGTGGCAGCTGGCTATGGGCTCATCCACAAGCCAGACCCTTTCCCCTGGAAGGATACTACTACAGGCAGCACCTGGAATTTGCTAAGCACAGAGCTATCAATATAGGCCAGAGATTTCTGCTGAGACTATATTCCTCATCAGGGAAGACAGGTAAAAACTGCAGGAGACGCACTATGGGATATGCTTAGCTTAGCTGTCTGCATGTCTGCTTATTAAGCTCTGAGATTAAGGATTTAGTTCCACATGTATCAGTTTACTTAGAACTAAAGCATCACTTCACATTTTAATCTCAAGTATGCTGCATTGTCTTGCCCGCTTCCTCTCGTGCCCTCTCCCCATGACCTCTTCCTCAGCAAAAAGCTGGAAAGTTATTAGCAAATATTATGTGAAATGTTTAATATCCAAACAGCAGGGTCTGGCATCCCATGAGAGATTCATAGCCCCTATGGTCAGGACAAGAAAAACAAGGATTGTTTGCAGGCGCCCAGGTCCTGCTGGTTGATGCTTTGAGGCTGGAGTTGTTGTTAAGCAAAAATCTCACAGTAAAACGTCCCTTCAAACAAGTTATAAACCAGGCTAGGCAGGAATGTGGTATTCAGCTGGGGTGAACTCCACTTCAGCACTACCCACAGACTGTGCACAGAACAAAATACCCCATACAAGTGCTACTTCAAATTCTATTCTCCAGCATTGTGTTACTGGAAGGCATTTTCCTCTTCTGTTCTCAAAAGCATTTACATTAAGGAAGGCTGAGCTCCTTCTGTCTGCAGGAAGGCTGGGACAGACCTGTCAACTGGCTTATGATTTATTAAAAAATTATAAAAGTATTTGTTTATGTGTTTATCAGGGTTGGAAGAGTTTGAAAAGTTGCAGAAGGTTTTCTAAAGCAAGACCTCAGAGCAATTGAGTGGCACAAACACTTTCCCTAGAATTGCATAAAAACATATACCCTTTTTCTACACCAAATATGATCCAGAAACAAATCTAACCATGAAAAAAAAAGAGCAATGGACAACGTCTGAGACATCAGGCTGTGCCATGCCCTTGTGACACCGAAGCAAACCCCACCCAAGGGAGGCAGGCCAGTCACACTTTTCACTGTGACTGCTATGCAAAGTTTGCTCACTGTCCCACTTAGAAAAACAGCATAAACATCTCTGAGCACAGAGTTCCTCCTGGAAGCTGACTGCACTCAGGTTGACTGGAAACACTGACTTCAACCAGGCGAGCATCTGCTCTGCTGCTGTGCCATTGGGCAGACACCTATGGAGGAGGCAAGCCCAGGGCTTAAAGGCAATGCCCATGGGGTACAGAGGACTTGGACCAGCAGATCCAACATTCCCCAGCCCCCAGACAACAGCAAACAAGGAACATGCTGCCAGCAGTGTGATTCTGCTTTTCACAGAACTGAGTTCACAGAGAAGTTTTACTTAGTGGGACAGTGCCATTACTTAAAGGTTAATATTGAAATTAAACCTATAGTATAATCTGTTGTGTGTTACCTGGAGTAATGGAGTTGGAGGGGATCCAGAGCTCATTTTTTCCAGGGACAATGTGGATTTCACAGTGGGGACCATGGGGCAGATACATCTGCAAGGAGTAACTGGAGTGTGTGATAGCTGAGCACAGCATTCTTTAGATCTTCACACTGAGGCAATGCAGAGCCAAAGGAAGGAGCATTCCCAGCATAACAGGAAGAGGAGGCAGAAGGGCAAGGAGCAGCCAGCCACACTGCCACCTGACCTATGAGGAACTGGCCAAAGTGCTGCTGACTGCACCCCTGCACCCTCTTCCCCAGCACTGCTATGTGTAGGAGCACTCTGCCCTGATGTCCCTTCACCAGTCATGACACCAAGTTTCTCTGCTCAGCTCCATAGAAAAAGCAGCTCTTTGGCTCCTGGATCCCAACCAGTCCTGAAAGCAACAGAGCAGCATTTACCCACTGCTGTGCCTAAGCTGAGGAAACTGGACAACAGCCCCCAACAGCCCACTAAAGATGATGCCTGACAATGGTCCCAAGAAGCAGTCCAAACGGAAGCTTCTTTCTGTGGACCTTTCAATCTGAACCCAGCCCTTGCATTAAGCTGAGAACAGAGTTTTCAGGGTCTGTCAGGTGGAGAGCACGGGCTGCATCTCAGCTCACCCTTTGGCTCCCCCTTCAGCTCCCCTTCCTACTTTTGCTTCCCAGTCTCTGGTATGCCCTGTTTAAGCACACTCCACTGACAGATGTTGCAAGCCACTGCACCCTCCTGATTATAATTGTTCCTAAATACTTCTCTTAGGCAAAGACAGAAACTAGTCTTTTTACTGAATGTGCCCAAAGCACCCATAGTTCATTTTCTATCTCTCCTACTCTATTACTTGTGAATCCATTTTGTAGACCCCCATACCACTGGGCCAGGGATTGGGTCTTATTCCTGGGGAACTGGGAAAGACCGAAATAGGGAAAAGAGAAATAAGCAATACAGCACAAGGATTTTCATGGTCTCATTTTAATGATGACAGACCAGATTAACACCACAGGAGGAGTAAGGGTGAAGGACCATTTCCCAAACATACTGCAGGTGTTCTGTGAAATAAATCTAACCTTCTTTTGGAGAAAAAATAAACTATTTCAATATTTAAATTAGTTGCTTGAAATTCTTAAAAGGGAGGAGATATTCTTGATGAACATCAGCTTTCTCATGTTTCACCAGTTTCTGGAAAAGGACCAAGGAACAGCTATTGCATGAAATGATATAAAAGGATTGCTGAAGGCCTCTCTTAGCATTCATACAAAGTTGCGGGCAATGGCCAATACTTTGGAGAACTCTCCTTCTCTTCTTCGCAGTGTATAGGGGATTGGTGTTCTTATTCTCGTCCCTATTGGGTTTCCATTATCTTCTATGAGTACCACATTGTTGGAATCAAATCGAGGCGTCATGGTGGGGCCAGGCATCTTGTGCCCTACAATTAAAGCCTTCTTCTTTTCTCCTTTGATAGCCAGAAGGATCTTATCTCCAACTTTGCCAACTCCAGTCTTGTTGTACACGTGGATGCATTTTGGTGGCCGGTGGTAGGGCGTGTTCCCCAAGGCGCTGTTGTCCACCACTCGCACGCGAGTTAGCTTCTGTATTGCTTGGCATGCTCCAGTGATGCTACCAAAAGACAGGAGAGAATGAGACAGATCTCCTCAATAATCCTTGGGGAGCAAAGGCAAACCCAGAACATGAATCTTGTCATTACACAAGCCACTCAGAAGGCACCAGCAACGAATATATACTCTATGGGTGACACACTCACTGCATTCAATGTGCTCTTTGAAAGCCAGATGCTACTTTGGGCTTTGCACACTCTTTACTAAATGTCAAATATAAAATGACCTTTCTGCTCTGAAACACAACTAAAGGATGGCATGAAGAGTGGCTTGCGTACCATGGGCTTTTTAGCAACTGCAGATGATGCAGCTTCGATCTGCAAGCAAAAAAATGTGCTCACTTCTGTTTCAAACAGCCTGCAAGAAGCTAAGACTCAAGTCAGGCTCTTTCAATCTTGCACACAGTACCCAGCACTAAGAACTTTTATGATCAACCTTCCTTCCACTGAAGTCTGTGAGTCTCACAGTTTATTTTGTTCTCAATAATACTTCTGAGGTCCTCTTGTGGCTGTCCTAACCTGTTCCCAACTAGAATCTAAGTGCTCACCACCTTCCCCATGTGGAAGGAATCCAAAGAGACACAGTCTCTTCTGTATGCTTGCTTTGTGGGAGTAAGAAACAACATAAATAAACTTCACAATACTAGTTGTTAGGTTCAACTCTGAATATTCTTGGGAACAGCAGGAACATACTACCTTACAGAAACCATTATTCTTTTATTCAGTGAGCTCAAACTCAAGTGACTTGTTGCTTGTCTGCAAATGACACCCAAACACAGACCATTGGAAAAGAAGGAAGATCCTCTCTGCTGCTGAACAACTGCTTTGCAATGAGGTACCAGAAACATGCTGGCCAGAGCTGCAGGAATGCCAACCTGCTGCCAGCTGAACTACTCAGTGACAGCATATGGAAGCAACCTAGCCATTCATGTTGTTTTTCAGAAGGTGAAAAGTAAATAGGGGCCATCATCCCTTCTTGAAGGGGAAAGGCCTGTATTTGCAAAACTACCTAAAAGATGAGCATGCACACCAAATGTAGTGTGGATGGACATCAGCTGAAGCAGGAATTTTTACACATGGTGAAGAAGGACAGTGGAGTCAATCTACATTAGTCCAACTGCTCCAGATCTTTCAAGATCTGTTTCCCACAGTAGAGGCCTACTTTAGCTTTCCTCTCTCTCTCAGCAGTCACTAATCTCTGCAACCAGCCATGCCATCCTGTCCAGTCCCATCCCACCCTCTGGCAGGGACTGTGGTACACCACACTCTCTCTCCCCTGCCTGCCATCTGTGGCTGCACAACAGGGAAAGCAGAAGGGAGGAGGCTGGAAAAAGATAAGTGCTGTCACAGGAAGGAGCAGGAAAAGCCTTGGTGGGACCAAGTGTACAACATAGCAGTGGCAAAGAGATATAAATGTGACTGTCCAGGAACCACTAGACAAGAATAACTGCACTGGGAGAACTTTTTCTTTCCCTTTTTTCTTGATTTCTGCCACAATCTTGGATAAATACCTCACAAAGAAAAGGTCTCCCTATTAAGTTTTCTGAAGTCCTGTTCACCTCTATGGACTGGACTTCACCTCCCTGTCACTGTCACTTATATATGCTTTAAATGTATGCTGGCCAATGCTCTCCCCCTTTTTTTCTTGATTTCTGCCACAATCTTAGATAAATACCCCCCAAAGAAAAGGTCTCCCTATTAAGTTTTCTGAAGTCCTGTTCACCTCTATGGAGGTGAATGACTCCCTGTCATTGTCACTCATATATGCTTTAAATGTATGCTGGCCAATGCTCTCATGCAGCCCACTTAAAGAGAAAGCCAGAAAGACCTGGATACCTCCTTGAGACAGCTCCCAGGACTATCACACAACCTAGCCCTAAGCATGTCTTAAATCCCCCTCTAGACCACAATCCTGGGAATGACTATTCTCATCCTTTAAACTGAAGCCCTGACCTTTCAAAGAGTTAGAGATTCCCCAAACTGGCAGAGTGTACTGTGGGATTAAACTCTAAGATCTATGCAAGGCATTGTAAAACATGAAGTCCATAAATCTAAAACTTTAGATGTCTAGAGCCTGGAGCAAGAAACAAAAAAATAATAAACTAGACACCATTAAAGTATGAGAAAGTAATTTATCCATAAATCTAAAACATTAGATGCCTAGAGCCTGGAGCAAGAAACAAAAAAAATAACAAACTAGACACCATTAAAGTATGAGAAAGTAATTTTTCAGACTATTTTACTGTAAATAAATGATAAACTCTTGAATAATTCTGAGCACTGTAAATGGCTCTGCATCAGCAGGGGCTCACTGTTGGGTTTTTTTTGCACTTGCACAAGAAACACAGACACTTTCAACTTCTACTTGAAGGCCATGTATTGCTGTCAAAGACCTAAAAGCCTCCTTACACACATATGAAAATGCAGAATTCAAGGAACTTGCAAATGGAGTTCACTTTTCAACCTATGAAAGGACAAGTGTAAGATTTTTTTTTTTAATTTTATTACTCTTTTGAATTACAAATGCTGTATCTTATTCTTGATCAACTTACCAGCATCTCTTTCAACTATGAAGCATGCTGAAGAAAACAAAAGCAAAATCGGAAAGTTACCTGAACTGTCGTTGGATCACAGCACTGCTTAGATGGGTTAAAGATAAACCAATTTGTCTACTCAAGAGAGCCATTTGGCAGCCAACCCTGCGTAAGAAACAAAAGAATTAACAACACTGGAAAATGGACAGAATTTGATTTGCTTTCATTCCTTTACACGAATCACACACTAGGGCCTCAGCACCTATTTAGATGCTGCAATCCACAGGACACAGAGTGGTAGCAGCAGCTGCAGCACACTACAGGCAAATCTACAAGCCCCACCTGAATTCAGGAGACAAAGTAATTCAGATACATATACTACAAAGCTGGGTTCAGTATCACTGCATTGCAGTTTCCCAGACACAGAGGTAAGGACCCTTCTGCGTGCACTGTGAATCATGTAACAAGAAGCAGGTTTGAGAATTTCAGATGTGTTAGATGTTAGAGGCTGCAATGCCCAGAAAAAGCCATCATTGTTATTTGTAAAAGCTACCAAGGTTACCTACAAAGCTAAGCAAAAGGCCAAATAACCTACAGAGTGGCATCACAGCTTCAGGAAACAATTTGCCAGACAAGAAACAAGTCAGAGCTCCACTGGTGAGGGCACGCATCTCTGAGCATACAAAAGTGTTAAGCAGCCTGTAAGGAGACACAGATACGCTGCTGCCAGTCCTGCCCTGTTCAGGCTGCCCAGAGAAAAGAATTCCCTGTACAGTGCTCACTCCATGCTGCTGTACACTGTACCCCACCCTGCGTGCAGCAGAGCTGGGTTACAGGGGTAACTCCTGACTGAGAACCACACCCTCCTCCCTGCCTACGTCCGTGGCGGTTCCCTAACCCCATTCTGTCAGGCTGACTGGGCCCAGCTTGCGTGCGCAGTCACAAAGGCTTATCTGAACACAGATCACTTTCCCAAACATCATTAGGGAGTGATGACCCAGGTGGTTATGCCAGCAGATCCAAGTGGAGGGAGGAAATAACACAGACCCAGAGCCAGGCCTCTCTGAGGCCAGCTCAGGTACAGCTAAGACTTTCCACCTGACTGCAACTACCACCATGTGACACGGCTTGCTGTGACCTTGGCAGCGTAACCAACACGTGCTCTGCTTCTCTCCTTTCAAAAGCAAACACTAAAAATCCATTGACTTCATCTCCCTCTGACAGTTGTGATGAGTTTTGGGCCAAACTACAGTGACACACTGTAAAGCCATTTTTTAAACTTTTATTTTTAAAATAAAGCTGAGTTAAATTCTCTAGGGAAAAAAAAATACCCACAGAGCCTTCAAATAGACAATACCACAGCTTTTAATACAACCAAGTAAAGTCCAGCCTAAATCTTAGTTCCCTCTTTTATTATTTTTTCTCCGATGTGTTTGCTTACTTGGGGATGTGTGTAAGTTTTAGGGTTTGCAGCTGTTCTACAAAGCAAGCGTTACCTGAGAGCATGATGAAAAGCACAGGACATGTGCACCACAGAAGTTCTGAGTGGTGCTACCTGAGCAAAGCACAGGTGGAAAACCAACTGTCAAACAGGCAGTATTTACAAAAAAAAAAAAAAAAAAAAAGACCACTTTTCTGTGGGGTAGATGATCAAATGAGTTGAGGGCTTACCCACACTGTCTCCTCTCTAAAATGTGACTCCAAACAGGCTCTGTTTATGCCACATACCCTTACCTGTGTGATCCTAATGCCTAATGACAGCAAGGCCCTGTTGCATTTACAGTGCTGCTGGCAATCATGGTCCAATACCTGGCCTTGCTGCCTTGCTGCCGCTCAGATTTCTAAGCAAGTTCAACTCTCCTGACTTGCTTTAAGCCCACCATCTGCCTGTGTCCTGTTCTGTACGTGGGTGTGCTGTCTCCCCATGTGAAAGGATCACAGTGAGCCTTTGGATTCCTCTACAAAATGCAAAAAAGCAACAGCAAGTTGGCCTCTCTGTTGTCTTTCATGGACACTTCTTGGGGAGTTCAGCTAGCACTGTTGCCCCCATCTCTACTTCCTAGCAGGCATGGCAGCATTGGTGGCTGGTTAAGGCGTGTCTGCTCATCCTCACTGCCACATAAACCCAACAGGAGAGGTCTGCGAGCTCATGGCAAGGCAGGCACAGCTGCAGGCTCTGCCTGCAGTCAAAGGCACAGCAGCATCACGACCAGCATAGCCAGATGTGCTTAAAGCACATCTAAAATGTGCTAAAGTGTTGCATAAACTCTGAACTCACTCATCACTCCTGGGAGAAGTCACTGTTTGTTTCTACCCCGTGGCAGCAGTGAAGGTCTGAAGTTACAAAACTACCAGCGGAAGCATCAACAGCATTAAGTGTCCAAGGACTGTTTATTTTTTCAGATGACTCAGTATCCCCTTCTCAGCCGAGAATTATTCCTCAGCACATTAAGATGTGTCACAAGCTAAGAAATTTCTTATGATTGATTATTTGGTATGAAGCATCCTGTTAGCAACTGAGTAAACAGGGGGGATGCTTCCAATTAGCAGGAGGGTTCAGGGTGGAGGGAAAAGAAGAATGCATCCATGGCATGAAGAACAGCATTCAAGGGTGCAAGTGTGTTCACAACAAGTGAATCACAACTTCAGCTACTGTAACATGCCAGTTTCCTTTCTAGAAAGGAAGAGCCAATAGGCTGGGTCTGGCTCCAGGTGCTCCTCAACCAGACCCAATCCCAATTTGATCCCTCTGTGGCTGTGAACTTCATCTCTCCTGCCCTCAGTTTCCCCCTATGGAGTTGCTAACTACTAAACAACTAAACTTTGAAGGGCACAGAAGCCGTTCACTCTACCACACTTGGTGCTGCCACATGAGCACTCCCAAGCTGGTGCCAAAATGGAAGAGCTGCTATAAATCCATGACAGCCATGAGCCTCAGTGCCCCCAGCACTTTTCTCCTTCCCAGCACACGTTGCTCACACCAGGGGGCCTTTAAAAGGCTCAGAGGAAGCTGCACTTAGGCACGGGAATGCATATGATCCAAGTTTGCTCCTAAAGGTGGCTCTTCCCAGGTCACCAGATTTCAGTGCTCCCAGGTGTATGGGAAGAGTACCCCCATAACCTTCAAGCACAGCAAAATGTGTAGGAATTCCCAGAAGTCTGCCATCGGTACTACCCAACTGATACAGGCAGGAGCGCACTCCAAAATATGCTGGACAGACAAAACACCACCTCTTGCTTAGGACTTAGTCACTAATACACTCCTGACCAAGGATTTATCTTGAAGGGGGTTTTGGAGGTCATCTAGTCCAATCTCCTGCTCAAGCAGGATTAATTTCCAAGGTTTTCATGCTAGGCAAGAGTAGTATTTAAACACTGTCCTAAAATGAGAAGCCTCAAAGGCAACTGTTGATGTAACATTGACCACTCACAACTGCACCAAAGCAGCAATAAAGAACCATGCAGAGGAATATCTTGCTGTTCCTACCCTGCTGCCCCTAATTTCCAGTAGTGGCTCTGTCTCATGAAAATCACAGTCACAGAGACACTTTGCCCTTGTCCACATATCTGTTAAAAGTTATCACTGACCTCAGACAAGAGCTCAAAGTAATATTCAGAAAAGGGTGAGGAATTTGTTAATCAAATATTCACTAAAATGATCCTATTTCTACTTCACTGAATTACTTTTGAGCATGCAATAACCTGCTACTGCAAATACTCTTCTCAAGAGCCCTTCAGCCCTACCCTATTCAATGCAGAAACTGATATAGAATTCCAACACTTCTCAACAAAGGAACTCTTCACCAGTTATAAATGTATGGAAATTATTTATCCACTGTATCATTTTCAGGTGCTCTAGCTATCACCTTCAGAGGTTTTCCTTGATATTAAAGCACTAACTTGTATTTGCTGCAATCTTGAGTGGCTTTTGAATGGAGAAATTCTGGAAAGTTCATCCCAGCTAATAAAATTGGAAAATACAAAAAATACATGTACGGTATTGTTATCAAATGCATGAGTAGACCACCTCAGGGAACTGATACAGAGCAAAGACATGTGCCAGACAAGGAAGAGAGGATTACACACTCACTTTAAATGAGCATCAGGGCACACAGCACCAAGAAAGGAAGCCCTGTGTCCCCCCAACCCACACTTCCATCACCTCCCTTATGCTGGCTTTAGCACTTATCTACATGAGTCAGTTTTCAGCCAGCTCAGCCTGAAGGCAGGTGAACACTGCTGCAATGGAACATGGCACAACAAGCTGGGACTTCTCCCACTGGCAACCCAGCCTTATGTGGTGACAGTATCTCCAAAGAAACACCAGGAGACCTGGACAAGAAAAGAATCTCTTGTCATTTCAGCAAAAACACTGGTGTGCAGGAATCTGCTCTACTAATCAGCCATGGAGCACTGGAAAGGTCTGCATCTGAACACTCCAGAAGCCAGAGCAACAGCTCTGACCAAGTTCTTATCAGTGGTGTACACCCTACAAAACAGCCAAGGCACCATTCTTACCTTGCCTGCATCCTAGAGTAAATGTAATTTTCAAGAGTGCTGTTACCTGGCAATCCAGTAATACTTTCCTTTCTAATCACAAGTTTTGGAACTAACCCCTCCTCCCTATATTCCCAAGATTTGTAATTCCATAATCATTCAGCTATTCCTCTTCCTTCTGTCTGCTGGCAACTCATCCACACAGACAGGCCCCATGGAAAAACAACGGATGTCAGAAAGCAAATGCTGAGGCCAAATACCCAAAGACTGCTGTCAAAGCCAAAGAAACCAGGTAAAAATATTCTTCACTTTTATAGCAGTGACCTGATCTGCACAGTCAAACAGCAGGGACCAACATCACCTTTATTCTTTTGAAAGATTAAAACAGAGATGCTCCAGGCACCATAAAGATTTGAACTGCATCTGTCATCCACCATTAAAACACAGGAAATAAACTCAAGACGGTACATGCAACGCAAATGCCTAAACCCCTACTCTGCCACTGCAGGTCTATTTATAGGCTGTCTGCCACAGGGAGCTGCAGGAGCCAACTGTGAACTGGGGGACTCAATCTATTCACAGCTCTCCTCGTAAGGGAACAATGTGATTAAGGGCTGTGCGTGTTAAAAATACACGAGATGTTCATTACTAAGACGTAATTGGTTTTACATTAATAACAAACAAAAAGACCAGGATTCACACAGAGAACTTAAGTCTTTTTAAAATCTGTTTATGAATAGGATTAGCTATTAAACAGGATATTTACTGATCCAAGTTACCAAAAGAAACTCATTACAGGTACATCTGTTAATTTTGAAGCAAAACACACTAAGCTCCTTTTCCAGACCATGATCAGGAATGGCAGGTAACAAAAGAGCTGCATACCTTTAAAATAAAACTTACTTTTAACATTTTAAGTATCCAGAAGTCACAACTCTAATGTACTTATGGTACTTATTGTCCTAATAATCAAAAACCTAAAATCATCCCATATATTCATATTCACAGCACTGTACTAAAATAGGGAGGGGTTATTCCCAGTGCACCAGCAGAAAATTAAGCTACAGAGAGGACAACTATCTGTGTGAAGTCAATGCAAAGGAGCAGTAGGGCAGGTACTGGATTAGGCCCAGAAGTTCTCTCTGGTGGGCCTGTGGGGTATGAGGGGAAGCCAAGAAAGGTCTCTGCCCTGCCTCTGCCTTTTGGGAATCACACGTGAATTCACAGAACTGCCCACAGCATCGTAACTTTACAGTGCTATCACCTCTCAAATGTCTCTTTACTGGTTTTAGAGGTATTGAGGTCTCAAGAGCAGGACAATGGTGGAAAGCCACAAGACCAGACGTGGTTCCCAGCCCCGACCTGGGTGGCCAGGCCCCAACCAGTGAGGTGCAATCACAGCCCAGACAGCAGCAACCACGCTGGGGGGAGCTGTGGCAAGGAGAACAACACAAACAAGAAGGAAGAGATGATGTGTAGCCGTGTCTCGACCATGAAAAAATGGCAGGAACAACTGACCTAGGCTAGTTGTTCACAGAACACAAAACTATAGAGGCTCTAGGTCTTCCTGATAAAGCTGTTCCAGAAAAGGATGCCTAATGATGTCGGAGTTCTGGCTTAAGAGAAATATGACCTGGAGACAAAGGCACGCTTGCATCACAAGGCAGTACAGAGCTACCTGTAGCTTCGGTGGCATAAGCCTCATTTCTCACTCAGAAACTTCCCTTAACTCAGTCTCTCTCTGTCCAAAGAAGACCCTCTTAGGCAAGCCTGGAGCTCTGGAACCAGAGAAGCCTACAGAGCTTAGATGAGCATCTGCATCCTGCTGTTAGAAAGGCTGGCTTGCCCACCTGTTTTTACTACAAAGATTAAGTTATTCATGCTTTTAAGAAATATGTCATACGGTATTTTCCCGCAACTGCCTCCCCTTACTCACTGGACCTCCAAAAGAGCTTTCTGGAGAATAACCAGGAAAGCACAGACTAGTGCCCACACTTCCCGAGTCCCCATGACACATGCAAGTAAATGCCACTCTTGTCAGGATACAGGAATTTTGGTCTAACTTTGCTGCATGACTACTCACACCCACAAAAGCCTAACCCCAGCAGCCCCACACGAATTCTGAGCAGAGAAGCTTTCTGAACATGCAGGAACTTCCGCAGAGCGTTTTCCCTCTCTCCCAGGCCATGCCGCGGAGGCACGGAGGGAGGAGAGGAGAGTGTGCAAGCCACACCAGGCTGCAGCTCCCAGCCGCGTTCGCGCAGTGTCACACCCTGTGCCGCGCTGCGTGCCGCTCGGAGCCGCGCACCTCCGGGGACAGCGTGTGCCCGTCCCTCCAGAGCGGCAGCTCATGCTCAGGGCTGGCACCCTGCAAGCCCTGGGCACGGAGCACCAGGGGCACCGCAAGCGCCCCGAGCCGCTCGGCCACAGCGCCGCGTGAGGGCCCGGCGCCGACACAGCCCGCATGCCGGGAGCGGGCCGCTCGGGCGGCGGGGCAAGGCCGGGCACCGGCCCTGCTGGGCGCTGAGGCACAGAGCAAGGCTACACCACGCTGCGCTGCGCTGCACTCCCAGCACCCGTCCCGTCCCGTCCCGTCCCGTCCCGTCCCGTGCCGTGCCGTCCCGTGCCGTGCCCGCCGCTCGCGCCCCAGGCCCCGCCGCGCACCCCGGCGCAGAGCGCGCGCACCCTACCGCCCAGCGCGGCCCGCGAGCTC